TCTCGTGTGAAGGAGTATCTTGGTATTACTGGACTTGCAGACTTCAACAAGCTGAGTGCCAAGCTCATTCTAGGCGCTGACAGGTTTGTTTGTTTTATGCTTTGAACTTTTTGGTGGAGTGTCTAATGTGATGGCTTGTGATTCTGACTAGCTAAATTGTGATTTCTTTGATTGGTTTGCAACAGCCCCGCCATACAAGACAACAGAGTCACAACAGTCCAGTGCTTGTCTGGCACTGGTTCTTTAAGGGTCGGAGCTGAGTTTCTTGCGAGGCATTATCACGAGGTAAACGATGGAAGCTTTTTTAATCTTGATGTTTTCTTTACTTGGAACGTGAAGGATGTGCAAAATCTTGCCCTTGACCTGGATCTTGTTATGGTGGCAGAAAACTATCTACATTCCGAATCCGACATGGGGAAATCATCCGAAAATCTTTAACCTCGCTGGGCTGTCTGTGAAAACTTACCGCTACTATGACCCTGCAACAAAGGGCCTGGACTTCCAAGGTTTGAGCCTTTATCACTGTACCACTCCACATTCTTGATGTTATCTTCGCCTTGATGCCGGAAGGCATTTGTGAAGCTGTATTTGATGTTACCTTGCGCTTTGATTTGTTTCTTTTTGGTCCTATTGTGGCAATACGCAACTCCTAATGACTTACTGTACCTATTATGCATAGGATTGCTGGAAGATCTCGGAGCTGCACCATCAGGGGCCATAGTACTTCTTCATGCATGTGCGCATAACCCAACGGGTGTTGACCCAACGCTTGAGCAGTGGGAGCAGATCAGACAGTTGATTAGATCAAAGCAGTTATTGCCCTTCTTTGATAGTGCTTACCAGGTATAGGGAGCTTGCATTTTTGCTGTAAATGTACTTATTTAAGATCGTACTGCTATCCTTGTGGTTTTAACATTAATCATAGAGACAAGTGTAGCCTAGATGCAGATGCAGTCAAATTGTAACTGATGATCGACCTTATCTAACATGTGTCATAGTTTTCTCGTGCCTGACTTAAAATGATCCCTGATCCAGGGATTTGCAAGTGGTAGCCTTGATGCAGATGCAGAATCAGTTAGAATGTTTGTTGCGGATGGTGGTGAATGTCTTGCAGCACAAAGTTATGCCAAAAACATGGGACTCTATGGGGAACGTGTTGGGGCCCTCAGCATTGTAAGATATAATTCTTTCATATGTCTTTCATCCGCTATGGTCTAGTTGCTCACCAAACATGAAATCGGTGTCACAAGGGAAAAACGAAAAATCAGTTGCAGCTTTCGTTTTGAAACCTAGTACTCGTACCGAGAGTTATTGGCGACGAACACTTCCAAACTTAAAGTTATCTGAAGGAATTTTTTGGTCTCATTCACACTTATTTTATGTCAACAAGGTCTACCTGAGTGCTGTATTTAATCCCTCTATGAAGAACCGTGTAATCTTCTGTTTCCCGTAGGTCTGCAAGGCAGCTGACGTGGCAAGCAGAGTTGAGAGTCAATTGAAACTTGTGATTCGCCCAATGTATTCCAATCCACCAATCCATGGTGCTTCTATAGTTGCGGCAATTCTCAAGGACAGGTACAGTGATGTTGAACCTTGGTTGATGATATTTACAGCCAAGATAACCTGATTCTGGAGATAAGACTGTGGCAATAATAGTGACAACAGCGATAATAATTTGCATTTGTTTGGGTTACTGGTAATTTAATATGTAAACAAGTGCAAACTCTTGGAGGAATCATTTTGCTCAAATCTCGAATTTCCTTTGCAGTGAAATGTATCAAGAATGGACTGTGGAGCTGAAAGCCATGGCTGACAGGATCCTTAGCATGCGCCAGCAACTTTTCGAAGCGTTATCTGCTAGAGGTTTGTTATCTCACATGTTCCCTGGCCTTTGGCATCTTTACTGTTGCTGTTGGAATCATCGTTCTTTATCTGTTTAAGTCATCTGTCTATGCGTTGCTGCTTGAGTTAGAGATTACTATTTTAATGGGGAAAACCTTTCTAAAATGAAATATGTCATTTGTCCAGACGAGGATTTCCTTTGTCTCTCTAATTATGTTGCTAAGGCTACACCTATAACTTAGGTTCATATTGGTTGTCTGCCATAATCCTTGTGTGCTACAATATTTTGTCTCCCGAACAAGTAGCAATCCTCAACCTTCTACTGTTTATTTTTCCAGGTACTCCAGGTGACTGGAGTCACATCATCAAGCAAATTGGAATGTTTACATTCACTGGTCTCAACTCTGAACAAGTTGCCTTTATGACCAAAGAGTACCACATTTACATGACATCTGACGGGTAAAAATCCCTCTTCCTTAAATATTTCATAATTTAAAGATTCCCCTGGGTTGAAAAACCTATCTGTCCCCTGCCAATGACCATAATTTTACATCAGTTTCCAAACTTAGTGCCTGGTTGCTGCTCTTTTTGTAGCTTCCAGTTTTGGTAGAAATGTGTTCCAACGCCGCAGATAGCATGAAACAGAAAAATTCAGAATATTGCTAGGTCCTAGAAAAATTCTTGAGTGGCTAACTCCTTGGAATTCCATGTACTTCATGCATATTGGTTTGTATATCTAGAGAAGAGACTTAAATTATAATTTTTCTTTGTCCAATCCACAGGAGGATTAGCATGGCTGGCCTCAGTTCACGTACAGTTCCTCATCTTGCTGACGCTATACATGCTGCAGTCACCCGTTCCACCTAGATAGCTAGCTGTACTGTCAGATTGTGGTTTAAGGGTACATTTTTTGCTACTGAAGGCAATGTTTCATGTAATCAAACAGACTTCAGCCAGAAAGGCATCTTTAGTCCTGGCTAGTCTTCTTTTCTTCACCGACTGTGCATAGAGTTTAGCTTGCTTATGCAAGCATTGTAAGGATAATACCATGATGAACTTGCATCGTGTTGAATCCCTTATTGAGATAAATTGGCCTAGCTTATGGCTATCTGTTATATCTTATTTTTGCTTACTATGCATGCACCCCATTTGGTCTGACTCTTTCTATGTTCATTTGCGTCTTTTGGACAGTAGAAGTGTTCTGCAACAGCTAAAACCCAGAACCATAATGTCTAGAAGAATTTTATGAAAAAAGGCTAGATACCATTCAATCAAGAACATAATTTTTCTTCTTCATTCCATTTGTTCGACATTCCATTTTCTCGTCTCATATATCGGACCATTACACTATGCAGATCAACGGGGGATTGGCTACCATAGTTGTGAGGACAACTAAGTCAGTCTTTTGTTCATAGCATTTGGTCTTTGATATTTACATTTGACGAATCCCCTCTCCCTGTGAACTAAGTTTTTTTCCTGCTTTGGGTTCTGTGGACCTCTGGATAATGTGTGGTTTCGGATTTTCTTTCCCTTTCCTTCTTGTATCATCATTTCTGGATATCTCAGTGTCGAGCTGTCGGACTTCTCATTCCACTCAGGTTCTCAAGCCTCTCCAGGTACGACGATTTCCTTGGAGTGGCAACAGGTTTTGCATTGATCTTTTCTTGCTCCAAGCTGTCTGTGATTCCTGATGCTGCTATCTTCTTCAGGTCATCCTCTCCTTTCTCCACACTCCATCCCATGAAGTCTGACAGTGTCATAGATGATGGTGTCTCGGCAGATGATAGCCTGTCTGCTTCTTCCTCGGGCTTTTCACTTCCTTCTGGTGGTGTTGGATTCAGTGCTTGCGTGTCAGCATAAAGAACATCTTCAATCCTCGACAAGACTGTGAAGGCCAAACTCTCTATAATTCTTGAGTAGCTCTCCAAAATAGCTTGTCCCACATCCTGTGTGATATTCATATGCAGAGGAAGGTCAGTTTGATTGTTTCTCTACTTGCTTCAAACTTGAATAAGTTGATTACTGAATAGGGATAGGATCAGATTGAAAATGAAGGGGGGGGGGGGGGGAAATTGGTCAGATTCAGATTATAAAAACTGCATACAGGCTGTCCAGATCAGCTCGAATGGGGATAGGATCAAAGTGAAAATAAATAAAAATGTGAGAGCTAGAATTGCTTGGAAGGACACTTGAGCTTAATCTATCTTGTCCGATTTTTGTTTGGTGCACTTAAGACTGTCCATGGAATTAAAACTGAATTGAATTTTGTTTGGCCAGATTCGACTTGATCCAATTGGTTTGGACCTAATCATTGCCCACTGCTGAATGCAGAAATGATGCTTAGTTGCTTACCTTGTTGTTCTCAATCTTGCTCATATCGAGTGCTGATTGGGGAAGTCCAGGGAAGTGCTGCTTGATGATGAGTAAGATAGTTTCTGCTCTCTCTTCAAAAATTTCTCTCTTCTCTATACTCACTGCCGAACCCCATGCTGCCTTACCATCTTTGTGAATCATTTTCCTTTTCCATATAACGATGGAGGCCTCAATCCTGTTCTTCAGCTCCAGCACATTGTGCTCGTTTGAAAAGTCCATGGTTGACAGAAACTGAGTGGGATCGAAGTACTCGTCGGTGATGGATTTGTATATCGAGTCTCCAAGGCTTGATCTTCCGTTCTATTACCAAGAAAATAACAACAAAGAGAGGTACAAGGTAAATTTTTATGGATGGTAAGTTTCAGACCGAGGAAAAAGGACTTGGAGGGAGTTTATACCTTGGGAAGGGATTCAATGTAATTATCAGGTACGTCCATTTCTGATAGAACTTGAGCGTTTATGGCCATTGCTGCTTTGAGAACTTGGTTGACTGCATCCTTCTGGGATTGCAACCATCTTCTTGTTGGTTCTGATAACCCACCCTTTGGAACTTTTGCTGTGGGAATCCACCACTTGTCCTCGTTTCTCTGTGGTCCTCCTTCCTCATCATTTTTCGACACATACCAGAATTCGTTCTGTTTTCCAAATTGGTCTAATAATTCCTGTTGATTCCCATTCATTTGTAAAACAGTTAGACTTAGAGCAACTCATACTAATAATGTGTAGTGAAATTTTTTGTAAGATACTCACAACAAGGATGGTATCAAGCTTCCGCAAAGCTGGGATGTTCATCAGCAGATCGCTTCTTTGCCGCGTTACCATGATCTATAAAAAAGGGGACAAAGCATTTGTAAGGTAAAAAATCAATTCAGTTTATATATTTGCTCATGCAATTCTTAATTACCTCCATATTGACACCATTATTCAATTGCTGTGAAGGAACAAACTCGACAATATGATCAGTTACAGAGAGAAGCCAATCGATTTCCTTTTTCCACCTTCCTCTTGCATCTGCAGACATTGGTTCTAACCTCTTTTGCTCCCCGAAAACAGATGCTGTCATCAGTCAAACAAAACGAGAAATCAGCCAGAGGCCTATCTAAAAAATATCGAAAACAAAAAAGAAGCTTCTTGGCGAAGGTAAATCCTTTGGCTTTCTGGAGATCTAAGGATTGTACCTGCAAGGTTTGTGATTGCATTTGACAATGCCAGAGCTGAAGAAACACCCTTTCCACCACCAGACATGTCTTCACCTAACAACAGCTTCCCGAACTTCTCCTTCATCAAATCCAAATCTGCACCAATTTTTGACAGTAGGCATTACACAAATGATTGTAAGTATTCTAATCCCTTTCTGATCTAAACGCAGTTGATGAACACATTTTTACCAGAGGGACCCTTTTCTCTTGGGGTAGGAGTAGGCGTCTTAGGAGGTGGTCCGCAATCTGCACGCTTTGGTTCGCGTTCAGGTGGAGACCCTTCCGCAGCTTGCACCGTCTCATTGAGCGCACCTGCATTATTGCTCTTGCTTTTGGGAAGATTCGGAGGAGTGCTCTTCGTCGATTGTTGATGTTGTAGTTGTTGCTGTGGCTGTGGTGGTTTCTCCTGCTGATCAACAATGCTCTTGGGAATAATCGGAGAAGTGATCTTCATCGATTGTTGATGTTGTAGTTGCTGCTGTGATGGTTTCTCCTGATCAACAACGTTGTTGGCGGACCCATCGTTATCGTTGATGGTGGTGGTCGTCGTCGTTGGCGTGTTGTTGTTATTCCCATGGTCGAAGAACATGCTGGTAATCTGCCTCCCAGGTATCTCAAGCATTCTCCTTAACGTGGTGGAGGATTTCGTCCTCGGGACATTGAGTGACTGCTGCTGTTGATCTTTTTCCAGTGCTCGAACCATGTCATCCGCCGGTTTTCGGTCTCCCTTCCCTCCGCCCCTGATGCTTCTTCTTCTCCTTTCCCTCCCTGTTAGAGATAACAGAAAGGAAGAGACAGGCGCCGCCCCCTTATTATAGCCCTTCAGGCTCCTTATATGATCTATTTTCGATTGCCTTTGCTTCTCAGGGAAGGCGGAAAGGAGGGGAGAGTCCCGCGGCGAGGATGACCGGCTGGTGCCGAAATGGAAGACAAAGAAGAAGAAGAAGAAGAATGGATTTTTTTTCTTTTCAAATGGAGATGAAGAAGGTAAAAAGTTCTATGTTCTTGAATTTAATCTAAAGGAGAAAAAGCTCCTAAGCATATTTGAATGGGGTTTTTTTTTTCTCGAACGCTTTCTTTGCTTTCTAGGCGTATTTATATGTGTGGAAATGCAATGTTGGGTGGTGCATGTTCAGCGTGGAGGGAAAAAAAATTATCGAAAAAAAGAAACTGTTAAGAGTAACGAACTTTGACAAGCAGGAAAAACCAATAAAGAAACAGAATGGAAACCGGGAAACGGCAGGTCGTTTTGGGTTGGGTGTGTTGTTGTTGGGAGGAACGAATGGTTTTGAGAGGTGGAAATGGGTTGGGAGGAATTTACGCGGGAAGTAACTAACTGCCTACAGGAATGTTTTTTTGTTTTGCTGTTTTTTGTTTTTCAGTTGGTGGCTGCCTTGCTGGATGGCTCCTGCGGTTAGTTCACTTAACCGTTAATTTATTGTTCCTATTTTTAGCATATAATTGAGATAGATTGATCTTCCAAGCCAACAGCTTCTCGTTTTTTTTTTATGAGAATCGATGTTTTGGCATATGATATGACTTATGAGGTCGTCTATCATAGTTTTGGCTATGGTGTATATAGGTCTACCTGGCATAAGCACTGTGGGGTTTTTTCTTTTTTTGGGATTGCGTGGCCTACAAACTACAGTCGTTGGGTATTGTGCGATGCGCGATCCAACGATGTGAGCATGTGGTTACGCTCATATCAGTATATGCACTAACTAAATTGTTAGTTCGACTGTGTTGTTCACAGTTCAGAGCGTAAAAAACGTGATCATATAGAGATAGGGAGTCGTCGGATCAGGCATCGAGCGTTCCGCGGTCGATGGACGAACGGACGCGTAGATAATTTTATAAATAATAATAAAATGTCACCACTTCCATCCAATCCGAAGATGTTCGACCCGGTGACCATGTTGTCACAAATGGGTTGTTAACACCATAGTTAGGTTGTTGCATTGTTATATTATAGCATAGGGTGTAAGTATATGATATTATTTGTTGTTGCTGTGACGGTAGCTTTCATTGCAGCGGTTGGTAATATGGGAATTTGTGAAGACGACAAAAACAAGGGGGGGAAAAGTAAGAATATTAACAACGCTGATTTGGTGTTGGATTTTAAAGATAAAATAGAGAGTGTTCTCAGTGCAGAACTAGTTTATTCATATGATAAGAATAGAAGGAAAGTAGAGTAGATTAGTGATTAGAAAAAGAGGAGCAAGGAAGAACAGTGGAGCGAGTAGGTAGAGAGTGTATCGGCAGGGGTTTAACACGCTGGTGGGTTTTAGGGTTTGACCAATGACTGAAATTGTTTATTAGCAATAAGGAAGAACCTTGTGTTTTGTTCCTTTGTATTAGCATCGTTGTGGGGGACTTTGGGAGAATTTATAAAATATGGGGAAATGATTGGGTGATTGTTCTCGCCTTTGATTCAACACTTTTGTGTTCTTTGAAATTCAGGCAACTTGGCGTTAATTAAGAGGAATGCATTGGTTCGGGGTGGATTAGTGTTACTCGTCTGAGGGTGATATATGTTTGTTTTTTTTTTTTTTGTGATTAGGAATACTAATGATTAATGAAAGGGATTCGAATTTTGAACCTCTAGGTTTTAAACTAGTGGTATTACCACTACACCAAATTCTTGTTCGTTCCGTTTATGTTATTTTCAGGTATTGACGGATAATTCTTACTGTTGTATGATATCAATATTTGATCTAAATGCAATGGCGTTTGATTGTAGAGCTCGAACGTTTAATGAACATTGTAGATTATAAATTGGCTATAAATAGTGCGAGAAATGTTTAAAAAAAAAAGTTGTTTGCAATTTTTTTTTACACGGATGTGCAATCCATTAATATTATGAGAATACAAATGGATCAGGTCCAAACAAGGTTAAAAGCAAGCTATATAGATATGACAACCACAAAGACAACCCCCAACCCCTAAACCAATTCACGTCACTTTTGTGTGGGTATTACTCATACGGTCATACCCAGTCTCATACTCGGTCAACGTGAGAATTCCTCTCGTGAATGGGTTTGGAAAGGTCGTATATCTACAATTGCGGGTAGAATTGCCATCCCAACTTGGTTGATGAGCAAATTCTGTTTAATGACACGAGAAAAGGGAAGGGTTGTGAATTCTGAGATTCTTTTTTAGATACGGCCATGTGTCTGTTATTGGTGTTTAATTATTAATAATCCACTTGGAAGAGAATTGATTAGTTTAAATGCCTTGACCTATGGTTTTTTTTAAAACCAGCTTGACAATCTCGTGTATACAATCAAATATGTCTTCGAAACATGTTTTTTTTTTGTTTGTTTGTTTGAACAGTGCCTTCTTCCCGAAAAGCTACTCGCAATTCATAAAATAAATAAATAAATATAAGTAAGACGGTATAGGTACAAACTGAATTTATACCATAATGCTAAATGTGTAAATTCAGTTTTTATAATAATAGTTTTTTTTAGACAAAGCACCAATACTTATTAGCACAATAGTGAAGATCGCTTACACTATCATTTATAAAAATGTCCTTATGAGGCTTACGATTTTTCACTTCAACGGCGAGTGCTCCGTGATCGTTGTACGCATGCATGTATTATCTAGTGTGTATGGTTTTAATGAAGGTGTAATTTACGTGCCACAGTGAAAGCCGATTTGAAACATGCATCGACAGAATTGGAGAAACGAGATGACACACCAGCCTACTAATTTGTTTTTATTTTTTTAATTTTATTACGATAGTTGATGCTACGCAAGTATTTTATGCACCAACTAGTTGATGGCGTGGAATACACAGATCTTGATCTCACCTTTGCTTGCTCCTCGCGTGGAAACGAGGCCTGGGTCTGAGCATCGGACTGGAGGCCCAAATAATTATCTTAGGGGGCCCAAGTAGATTCTGGATCTTTGTGGCGTCCCCGTAGTTTGTCGGCTCACGTGGCAACCAGCCCACCAGCTCAAGTGGCTCTCAACAATTAGTAGATCATTAATCCGTTTTATCTAGTGGTACGATTGTATACCATGTGGGTTACAATTTTTATTTCATCCCAAATTATATGTAGGTGAATCGTACATATTTTATTGTCTTCTTCGTCATTAATATGTTTGTCCGCGATAATTATAACTGTTCAGGAGATTCGATGGCTTCATCTAGCTCTTCAATCTCCGTCTTACTTACGCCGAATGCCTTCTTGAACGTGATTCAAATGTGTGCGGTGGGGAAATCGAAGGGATGGCTTCCGATTCTGGGGACAACGATATCTCAACGAGCTTAAATGCGAAGCATGGAGTGAGTGTCTCCAAATTTTGCAGTGTTGGAATATTGTTTCTTTTTTACGTACAGGTGGCATGAAATGAATTCACTACTTGACTGGATGCAAAGAAAGATCCTCTTAAATGAAAGAAGAGACAGCAAGCTCCCAAACACCTTGTCCACATATTGCAGTGTCGGTACTCGATCCAATATACATATATATATGCTGTCTGACTCTGGAGTCTGATCCCCACCCTTTGGAATTTGTATATAGTACATGTTCTCTTAAAATTATCTACACGCAGTGACGGAGCTAGGTTGAAATCATGAGAGGCTATAGCCCTTCTTAAAATTGAAATGTGAGTAAAATTACATGTAAAATTCGTATCAAATTTAGGAAATAGAGTAGTCGGTAAGGCATCAGCCTCCCTGCTCCATCCAATTAGCACGAATCAAGGCAGCACCCCCCTCATTCAAATTCATGACTCTGCCACTGTCTACACGGGACACCATAGTAAACATTTGTTTGGATATTGGAAGGAGATTAGGAAGGAGTTTATCTTATTTGTTCGTGGAGATGGACGAAGTTACGTGTAGTTCGAAAGGGTTTATCGTTAATCTCTCGGTATTTGTTATGTGTTATAATGTGTGCATTAATGTATGTTTAAAAAAAAAACATTGCGAAGTGATCGGATATGGGTTGTGAGTCTCTCCTCCTTCCAGGGTTTGGTTCAATCCTACCAAACAACGACAATATCTTATTTCGGGCGTTTTCTTTGCACAGAAGGCTGGTCCTCGCGGTGTTTCCACCGAGCTACTCTTCGACGCGAGTTAGGGAGAGACGGAAGTTATAGTAAA